GGCGCAGCGGTTTAGCGCCTGTCTTTGGCCCGGGGCGCGATCCTGGAGACCTGGGATCGAGTCCCACGTCGAGCTCCCAGTGCATGGAGCCTGCTTCTCCCTCTGCCTGTGTCTCTGCCTCTCTCTTTCTCTCTCTCTCTCTCTCTGACTATCATAAATAAAAAATAATAAAATAATTACCATTACTCTGGCTACTGTTGTGGGAGTACTATCAGATGATCCTGAAGCCCAGGCATGCTGGAGGAGGCTCCTGGGTAGCCGCCTTTGGCTTTCAGCAAGCCTGTCAATGAGCACAGAGGAATGGTTAGCTTTCATTTGCCCATTTTGCTTCCATCCCTGGGCAGACAGGAAGCTTGCTTGCCATTCTCATTGGGATTGCTCACTCTTTTAACCTCTTGCCTCTTTTTAAACATTCTCGCTAAATTATCCCTCATGTGGATTCATGCCCAGCTGTGGGAATGGGGACCAGAGGAGCCACGTTTCCATCTCCTGCTCTGCTCCATTAGGCTCCACATTGTTTGTCCTTGTAGATAGCTCCATTGCATGATGGCGTCTCTTGATATCCTATGTCAATCCGTCACAGTCCAGTTATGATAACAGGGCGGGACATCTTACAGGGCTAAGAGGCTTCTTTGTGTGTGGGAATTGCTTGTTTATATTCTTTGCTCATATTTCTATAAAGTTGTTTAAATGCCTTTGGACTTTGTCTAACTTTTGCAAACATTTAAAACTTTGGTGTAATGAATCTTTCAGTTTTTCCCTTTATGATTCATGTTTCCATGTGGTTTAGGAACACTTTTCATATCCCCAAATCATAAACATTATTAGAAGAAAACACAAGGCTCAATTTAAAGTTTTCTTTTCATTTTTAGCTATTTGATCTGTGGTGAATTTATTTTTGTATGTGATTTGATGTAGAGACATAATTTTATGTTTTTCCTATATGGTGAGCTAGTTTCCCCAGAACCACTTGATAAATCATCTGTCCTTTCCCCATGGATGCCAGTTCTGTTGTGTTCACATACTCCTTAACTAGGTAGTCATTGCTTGACTGGTGACAAGAATGGCCTGGAATAGAGCCTTAAAGATTAGAGCACTCAGAAATAGACTGACAAAGTACTTGTACCTCAAAAGCTTGGGTTCTAGGGGCATCCTTCAACTCTTTGCTTGAATCTCTCCCCTGGGCAGGTCTCCCTCACTGCATCCTCCCCAAACATCCATTTCTGCCTACCAATGCAATGGCGGCACAAGGGAGAACATTAGCAAATCTATTATTCTGTGTTACATGATTTTAATTACCTGTGTATCTTGCGTGCCAGACTCTTAGCCCTCAACCGCTGGGATTAGGTCTTTTTATCTTTATTCCCCAAATCTAGCTTGGGCTAATATTCATATGTCAAAAATTGTTCCAGAAATTTTGTCATAAGTTTATCCTATCACTTCAGAAGGACTTGAAGGCTAATAGGGCGTGAAATGAACAAAATTAAACTATTTTGAAATCCTTTCTTTAATACTCAGTTACAGAGATATTATGACATTTAATTATGTATTTGCTTTATTTTAACATGGCTGTAAATCATGAATGTTCAAAAGAAAGTGTGCTTAGCTGGAACAAACATTAGTATACAAAAATGGATACACAAATATAGCTAGTCGTAAATAATACAGACCATCTTATAAAAAATGTGTTTATGTGTACACACATGGAAATGGGCTAAATTTGACCATAGGGTAAAATTTGGTTCCTCTGTGGTCATCAACCTAGAAGATTTAACTGATTTGAGCTGTGACATGGTTATTCATATATCCACATCCTCTCCCACACACATATACCTAAGTAGGAGAATTTTCCATTAAGTAAATTTGGTAAAATTTAAAATTTTTCTGGTTCAGAACTTTTAAAAACCATCTCAAATAAGCTTCATCAAAATGTCTAATGTTGGCCTCACTGACAAGCACTCAGTGATAAGTGTTCAAATGAAAATACAGTAAAGAAGATTATCTTATTTATTGGGTACTTTCTGTCTACTTCTCCCACTTAATTAACCACTATAATTCCAACGTCCCCAAAAGTGCCTAGCAATATATGCATACACAAACAAGTGCTCATAGCAAGATAACTATTAAAGATGAGGAAGATATAAATTGATCCATAATGATAGTTATTTAGCCAACAAGAAATGTCTTGAACGTAATAGATGCTATAATCAGATAAAGCTAAGATTTCACTACTCTCTGGCAGCTAGGAGTCAAGTGATACTTTTCCATTGAAAATGAAATACTAGTTGAGAGATTAGACCCCTTTGGAATTTGGGCAAGCCAAACCCAAATCGTTGAACTTTTTCAGTTATAAAAAGCAGCTAGACACTGAATAGAATTGTGTCTGAAGGCATTGGTCCAGCTATGGCTGTGTCACCTTAAGATATAGGCCAAGGAGGCACAGTGTCTTCAGTTATACAGTGGATTCAGAATACTTGGCCTGCCTTCTCTTCAGAACTGTTGTGAGAATCAAGTACAATTAAAATTTGTGTATCCTTATTCTTTAGTAGTCTATGTATAAGCAATATGTCCGTATTACAGTCAACACTGAAAACCAGAGTCACTGTGGCAGGCATGGTGGTGGGTCACTCAGTTCTCCCTTGAGAGAACTTGCTAATCAGTGAGTTATTTGACAGCCTGCCGCTGCAGAATCTTCTGGATCTCCCATAGCATCCGAAGCTTGTATTTATCCAAGGCATCCTCTGGCAATGATTTACATGCTGTTGTAAGACCTAGCCATTTCTGTTTCACATTAGACTCTCTCTCATCTATGAGCAATCGTTGGTCTGGATCATATCAGTGGGCTGGCCAGGATGCTCCCAGAGCTGCATCTCTGCTGGATGGCTTTCCTACTCATGTCTCTCTCCTTCTTGCTCTCACAGGGTCCAGATCATATCCCAGCCTGAAGTCTCTCCCTACCTAGTCCTACTCTTTCCTCCCGTCCCATCTTTCTCTGGCATTACCTCTAACAAATGTTGACATTTCTAACTCCTGTTTTGGCACCTGAGTTCCAGAAGACCCAACTAACATGGTCCCTCCAACACAAATCTACATAGCAACCCCATCAATATTTTGAATGTTATCTTTCTTTCCAGAGATTTTAATTATGTATAAGTTTGGTGGGCTTTTAATTTTACCTCTTTTCCTCTTCCCATCATATCAGGCATTTATGAATAAAGCATTTTGAAAAGCATAAGCCTCATAAAATGTTAGACACCAGCTGATGCTCATCTGTTTTAACAACAGCAGTGTTTGAGGAGACTAAGATGACTCGAGCACACAGTGTTGAATGGCTCAAACAAGCCAATCAGAGTTCTCAGGCATCTCCCAATAGCTTTGTAGGGGGAGGGTGAGGGTCAGATTCTTTCTGCACGTGAGCAGTGGCCTCTGCTGTCTCTTTCCATGCCAGCCTAGGTTTGCCAAAGTCCAGCTGAGAGTGATCAGCAACCATAAAGCCTTCAGCTCTGAACAGTGTGCTCTGTAGTAGCCAAGCCTCAGTTTAGACACACTCACCCCTTAGTTCATATGTTATCCTGGGCAGGTGCGCTTGAAGGGAGGCTCAGTGGGGGATCAGGAATGCTAACCGACAAAGAGCTTTTCATCAGGTGCTCCTGATCTGCCTTAGAGGTATAACTTTCCACCGACCTTGTGAAAGCAGAATCTGTGCAACTGTCTAGTTGATAGGTAGGTGCTCAGAGCTCCTCTCAGACCACTTCTTGGCTGCCATTTTAGATGAGATAAGCCTAAGCATTGTTTCCATTCTCTTTCTTTCTGATTCTATTTTGATTTTATTTCCTCCTTAAAGCTACTATTGTATAAATATTCCATAAATTTCATGTGTAAGCTTTGGTAACATTTGAGGTCATTATGTAGATTGACTTCAACCAGGAACCCCGCCCCCCCTTTTTAAAAACCTACTCCACTAAAGAGTTTATTTATTTTTATATTTTAACACAGGCAAATCTGTATTTCAAACCACCCATGGTTTCAAATGGTTTCTCTCTCTTCAGTTTAGCTTTTGAACTTGATTGTAAAATTCTGCAGGAATATACCTGGGAAAGTGTGCTTGGTTGGGGCCAGGCAAAATAGATAAAGATGTGGACTCTTTTACACAGAGTGAGATCAGTATCTTTGAGCCTCTTAGTCCTCATTTGTATTGTAAAATAGAGTAAGATTCTCTTAGCTTTAGGAGGTGACGGCACCAGGAGGCATGCAGTATTCTTCAAAGTAGCACTAATCTGAGGACAGTCCTCTTCCTTTGAAGGGAGGTCCACAATTGGAATTAAAACAAAAAAATTCACTCAGACTTAGGCTTACTCCCTTACTATATATCTAGTAATTCCATTTGTCTTAAAGCCACTAGAAAAAGAGTCCTGGAGACTGGGCCTGTGGCCCTTTTACACTAGTGCAAAAGCATTTCTGTGTTATAGGTAATATTTGCAAATACTCTTATTTTCTGCTACATTCCTTCCCTACAGTTGCATTTCCAGGATTACACATAAAATAAAGCTTATATTCAGCAACATCTTTAGCATAAGGAATCTCAAAAAACATACCTTCACAGGTCCTACCACTTCTGAAAGAAAGGCAGGACCAGGTTTTATAAAGAGCATAGATTCAGAAGTCTCACATAGATTTGTCCCGTGCTAGCTGCAAACATTTAAGCAAAGCTTCTTGTCACCTTTCTTTCTCATCTGGAATATAAGTATGACGACCATGTTTATAGTTTTCTCTTTATAGGATATTTTTTAAGAGCCAGCTTTTATTTTTGCTTCTTATCAATATTTTTTCTGTAGTTTGAGCTTTAAACAGAGATTGATTTTCCAATTTCCATCATAGAATGTTTTTCTTTTCTCCAAAGTCAAAGAAGTGATCCCTTGAAGCCACAGAAAATCATCTTTTGAAATAAATGAAAAGTGGGTAGAGGTATTGGATCCACTGAACTGAAAACAATACCCAGGCTACCAAGGTGAGAAGCACCTGCTGAGGGGGAGGGGCTGAGTCAGGTAGCATTGCTCCTTGTGGATTCCAGTTTTGTCTTTCCCATCAATTAGTATGATGGGAAAATACTTGTAGTGTTCGATGATGTCTTCTACTGAATTAAACTTCTGAAACGAAGAAAAGAAAGTTAATGAAAATTTAAATATCTTTTGTGTCTGTGGGTTAAAGCACAGAATAAGATGCTTCGTTTCCTTAGGGAAGAAATTAACTCATTTAACTTTTTTTGTGTGTGTGAAGGTATGTCAGAAAGCGATTAAAAAAAAAATGTGGAAAACCAGCTCTCGAAGGATGTGTGAGAAAGAAGTTAGCAAGGAAGAGTAAGGTGCTTGGGGAGACCACTCAATCTTCACCTAGTAAACTGGTGGGAAGACCTGCAGAGAGCCCCCCTCCTGGAAACCCCTGTGTTTCAGTGAATCCTGGGGGTAATCAGAAGGAGCAGAGCCAGCCACAGTGCCAATGTCGCTTCCTTGCCTGGGTTTCTTGTGAGATAATGAGGTGACAGCAGATCTTTACTCTTTTTGTGTTTCTGGAGATATGCAGATGAAGGGCTGTGGCAAACTGAATAGACAGATTATTTCAAGTTTGGGGAATCAGGATGTGCTTTGCTGAAGATGCAGACTTGAAATGGGCTATACCTTCTGGGTGATTCTGGATAAAGGGACAAGAGGGTTTGAGGATTCTAAAAGCAGAGGAAGAAGCATGAACAAAGGCAGGTGTTGAAGACATGAGGACACAGATGGTGGTGATTCTGATGAGCTGAGTTTGGGTGTATCCTCAAAGGAAGAGGATGACTATAAGTAGGAAGAGCTTGATCCTCCTCGGCCGCAACCCCGTGAGGTGAGAAGGGCACGTGGAATGGCCTCATGGAAGAGCTAAGGAAACTGCAGCTCAAAAACGTGGCCTGATCTGCTTGGGTCACACAGCCAGTGGTCCAGGACCAGGAATGGAACCTAGTTCTTTTGGATATGAGTCATCTGCCCTTTCTCTCATACAACTTGGCCTATGGCTTGTGACCCTGGATTCCAACAGACCAGGACAGAGACGACACAGCCTGAAGGGGAGGGACTTCAGTGGGATGACTCTGATGCTGCCAGCACATGTTTGCAGGCCTTCGGGGTATCCAGCAGGGAGTGGGATTGTCACGGTGCCTGTCCTTGTGGAGATTGCATTCTGGAGGGGGCAGACAGAAGATAACTCCCTGTACAAAGAGGTCATTTCATTTAGGTATAACATGCTCTGTAAAGAATGTACTTGGGACTCAGGAGCATCACCAGGCCTCCTGGAGAGCTTCCCTCGGGGGCTGCATGTGGCCACTGGGAGGGAACTCATTTTCCTCAGGGGCACACAGTGCTAGTGACCTGTAACCGCCATGGCTGTCCCCTCCTTCCCACCACCTGTGGAGGGTGTGAAGCATAATGAGGTATCACACTGGAGGAAAGACTGGGATATAGTCCACAAGCTTCTCAGCTATTCCCACCCAAGCTCATCTGACTTGGCTTCTGGCTTTCCTTTTTTTCTTTTCTTTCCTTTTATTTTCTCTCTTACTTTTGTTTAAAGATTTTATTTATTCATGAGAGACACAGATAGGGAGGCAGAGACATAGGCAGAGGGAGAAATAGGCTAGGGAGCTTCCCTACAGGGAGCCCGAAGTGGGACTTGATCCCAGGACCTGGGATCATGACCTGAGCCAAAGGCAGATGCTCAACCACTGAGCCACCCAGGTGCCCCAGCTTCTGTCTTTTCACACTAAAACAGTCCTGATTAAATCTGTGGCTTGCCCATCTGCACCTGCTACTGGATCTGATTTTAGTGAGATAACCTATCTGTCCACTCCTCACAGGTATACAATAAACACTAGGTCTGACCTGATGCTAAGGTAAGGTGGTTTCCTGGTTGTGCCATGGGGAATGCAAGGGTTACAGAAGTCTGATGTGAAGGGGCTATGGGGACCATGTGCCTGAGTTCCAAACTCGGTACTCCCACTCAAGAGCTGTGTGACCTTGGTTAGTTTCTCTTACTCCCTGTTTCAGTTTCTCTGTCTACGAACAGTAATGGTAAGTCATATCAGGACCTACCTCTGACAGCCATTGTGAGGATTAATTGAACTAACACATATTCCCCATTTAGAAGAGAGCTTGGTATACAGTGAGTGCTCAATAAATGTTGTCATGACTATGACTTCATCCCTTGTGGGTTTGCCAAGAACGTGAACAAAGAACAATGAGATCACTGGAGAAGTTTATAGACTATTATTGTCCACCTTCAGGAAGGCCCCCCCTTTTTTTTTTGGTATTTTCATCTCCAGTCATAAACGGAGTTTTCTTCCTCTTTCTTCATATTCAACAAAACTAAAAGTAAGTGATGAAAAGAAACTTCTCATGTGGAACTCTTTTCCAAAATTGGTTAACCCATGTGGCACAAAGGAAAGCCTCTTCCTTGATACTCATCTTCAGAGGAAAAATGCCTGCTTTTTGTTCTCATTCCTGTTATTGTTAGGATGGTCTTGAAATAATGATTTCAATATTAATTGTTTTAATAACCGACTACATGGATGCCATTTTACACAAAATTGTAATTTTAGTAAGTGGTAGGAAGCAAGCAAAGCAGGAGCAATAAATCAGGCTGTCATTTCTTATTATTTCCTTCTAGTGATAGGCCCATAACTGATATATTACCCTAAAGAAACTTTTAAAAAATATTATAATTAAGCTCTTATTTTTATGTTAAATGATTTTTCCAGGAGGGCAGCAAATGTCATCCTGTTGTTAGATCTTAAAATTTCTTTAAATCTTTTGTGTTTGTTTGCCTTATGTACCAACTGTAGGCAATGGTTCACGGACAGAAGGGTAAAGAAATCTGTTTGGGACTGCCCAGAGCAGTGAAAGAAGAAAAGAGAGAAGCTGATAGAAGAAATGAAAAGCTATAAGCTCATGGATTCATTGTTTATCTCTGCCTAATAGTCTTTAAAGTTTGATTTATCCAGTAAACATCTATTATAATTTTCAGTCATTTATCATAACCATTTGCAAGACAAGGGCAGGTCTGATGATTGAAACTGCTCCTTTCTATGAGCTTTCACAGAAACGTTAACAGATGTGATATCTGAACTCAGATGCAGGTTAATGTCTGGCATCCAGTGAAGCTCTGAGGGTTACTAATGGCAGGTGCTTCTCTCTCTCTCTCATTTTTTTTTTAAGATTTTATTTATTTATTCATGAGAGACACACACAGAGAGAAGCAGAGACACAGGCAGAGGGAGAAGCAGACTCCATGCAGGGAGCCCGACGTGGGACTCGATCCTGGGTTTCCAGGATCATGCCCCAGGCCGAAGGCGGCGCTAAACCGCTGAGCCACCCGGGCTGCCTCGGCAGGTGCTTCTCTTGCCAGGCTTGGTGTTCTAGCAGTTGCTAAATATTTCCAGTCTCACACCTGCTTAGGGTGCATGCATAGATAGGTACAGATGGAGCAGGGTTGCCCCTAGATGGCAGGGATTCTGTGTCCTCAGAATGGAGCATTAAGTCTAGCATAGTGTAAGCATAAAATTAATGCTTGGAAAATAACTGAGCAGAAGGATAGAGTGGGCTGAAAGGTGGTCCCTGAGAGATAGGTCATGTCCTAATCCCGGGAATCTGTGTTACCTTATATATCAAAAGACTGTATATTACTTCACATGACAGAAGATGGAATAAATCGAGGGTCATTGTAGGAGGAGCGAATCCTGGGTTATCCCTAAAAGCCATCATGTGTTGCCTTACTAGATAGAAGCACAGGGTGACTCATTCAGAGAACAGGGAGATTTTGGTGCAGAGGTAGAGATGAGGATGATGTGACCCACAAGCCAGAGAGCCACCAGAAGCTGAAAGGGACAAGGAAAGATCCTCCCTTGGTGTCTAGAAGCCTTGCTGATACTTTAACTTCAGATGTCTGGCTGCCAGCACCACAAGTGAAGGCATTTCTGATGAAGCCACCACGTTTGTGGTGCTTTGTTATGGACCCCAGGGAATAAAGACACCGGGTCTTTCCTAAATCTGAATTCAGACATGAGTTTCTAGCCATGTGGCTAACAGGATGACCCAAATACCTAAATATGCGGCAAAATGGACCTTCCCAGGCTTATTCTTGGCAGATGTGTGTGGGTTTGCTTGCCTTCTGTGCTTGGGGAGGTGTGCTGGCATGCTTGCCTTCCAAGGCGCTTGCAACCCCTATGTCCCGGGGAGAGCTGCGCCTCACTTGGGCCTGGGTAACAAACCTGATGCACAGGCTCTCAGCAATCACTTACAGTGGAAACCCTTACTCACTGTGCACCTGCCTCTATGTGTCTGAACCTCTACGTGGCTGTGTTGACATCCCCTCATCTGACACATAATGACTCCCCTGAGATGGGTGTCGCTGCGTTGGATGTATGGTTAAATTCTGAAGTTTGTGAGGCAGCCAAAAAAGCCACACAAAACCAAAATTATCCTTGACAACCCTGTATCTCATTACCTTTCTCTGCAGAGTCAAACTAAGACGCTATTTCTTTATTCAAGCCCCAGATAAAGTAGCTAGTGCTGGCTTGCTCTCAACAGAGCTGTACTGTATCAAATTCTTTCTCCCTTTTGTAAAGCTGGGAACGTCTCCCCCAGCAAGGCAGGGGCTCCCCTGCATTGTGAGGGGCAGGAGCAAGCTGAGAACAAGCTAGACCATCCCAGCCTTGCACCAGCAGCCGGCTCCTTGGGTGGACAGGCAGGAAAGTGTACAGCTCTAAAGTATAAAGTATAAGTTCTCATGCAGTGCCTGGTGCACTTCACGAAAGTGTTAACACTCCTTCATCCCACGTTCTGGCCTGTTTTCAAGCAGGCTGGGGATTGTTTGCATTTGGTCATGATGTTATCTGAGACCATACAAGTATTTTTGCAGAGTGAAAAATGAAGCCCAGCCTTGCCGTGTACCTGCTGTGACTGGGGGGCCCATTACTTAGCATTTGTGTCTCAGTGTCACTGTCTATTAAATGGAAATATTAGTGGCACCGATGTCACTGGGTTGCTAGGAGGGTGAAATCGATCAAGTTAATTTAGTAATTGTTAACTGCACAGGACAGGTCCCATGCACAGCAAACATGCAAGTGTTAAATAGCAGGAAAAAGGAGACTTGCTTGGGGGAATAATGCATGGGAGGAGAACATTCTGGAATAACCCAAAAAGGGTTTTCTTAAAATAGGCGTTTGAATCCTTAAGGGATCCTTGGTGGTAATAATTAGAGCAGCTCACCTGGAAGCTGATGGTCTAATCTTGGCTGTCACAGATGGCAAGTGCCTCCCTGCTGAGGCAGGGAACTGGCTGACAATCTGATTAAATGCTGTTCAGATGGCATCCCAGAGTAAGAGTCGCTGTTTCCTCTTTTGTGGGCAGACCAAAGTGTGGCATGCTAAGGGAAAAGCTGTGACCCCTTTAGGTCTGTAGGAGTTGGTAAAAGGGCTCCATAATGCATCCTTTCCAGAGGTTTTTGAGGTCCAGGAGAGAGTAAATGATACAGCAGCTGGCAGAGGCCATGCATGTCAGGGCACATGGTTTCCACTTGTGTGTGTCCCGAGCATTTAAAAGTCATATACGGGGGCACCTGGGTGGCTCAGTGGTTGAGCATCTGCCTTTGGCTCAGATCGTGATCCCAAGGTCCTGGGAGCCAGCCCCGCATCAGGCTCTCTGCAGGGAGCCTGCTCCTCCCTCTGCCTATGTCTCTGCCTCTCTTTCTCTTGTGTCTCTCATGAAAAACTAAATAAAATCTTTTTTTTTTTTAAAGTCATATGCAGCTTTTTTCTTTAAGAACGTGGGAAATTCTATGAGCTGGAGGAAGCTAGAGCAGGATAGAGGAGCACGGAGCTTCCATCCACTAACCAGAGGCATCTAGTGCAGGGGAACTATACCCCAGTTATTGCAACGACTCGAGTAAGAATGAAAAGATAATAACTCACATTTTCTGTGGCCTGGCTAAGTCCCCGGCTGGCTCAGAGTGTTTTACATTCTGCGAAGTCGCTAATCCTCAACACAAAAGGGAAAATTGGCTCCTTCTCTCTAGCCTCGCTGTAATACTCCCTTATTGTGGCTCTATTTAGCCGATTTCTGTATTAATCTATCCATCCTCTCGTGCTCTCATGGATGCCCAAACTTTCCCAGGCTCTGGCAGAGGCTGGTGCGGAGTGCACGTCTCCAGTCACGTGTGATTCTCAGAAGGGGCTCCAGGTCCAACACGGGTTTTCAGCCGGAGTCCTCACACACCTGCTGATGGGATGCTCATGTGGGCGCCCACCTGAGGTGCTTTGGCAGCCCTGGCCATGATCTCCATCTTGATCTCTACTTAAGGACAGTAGGTAGTTGTGTGAAGGTTCTGGTTTCACACAGTATTTGTTTTCTCAGACCTCGTAACAAAGTACCACAGTGGGGCGAAGTGAGGGCGCCTAGACAGACCACAGTCCTGGAGCCTGGAAGTCTAGGATCAAGGTGTCAGCACACTTGGTTCCTTCGGAGGCCTCCCTTCTGGTATGTAGATGGCTGTGCTGTTCACTTTACATCTCTGTGTATCTGTAATCTCCTCTTCTTACAGAGACACCAGACACAGTGGGTCCGGGCCCCCATGCCTGTGACCTCATTTTACCTTAATCCCTTCTTTAAAGGCCCTTGCTCCATATACAGTCTTATCCAGAGGTACTAGGTGTTAGGGCTTCACCATATGAATTTGGGAGGGGGGGGGACACTGTTCAGCCCATAATGTAGACCAATGGATAAAATTGAGGTCTGGAGGGACTGTGGCTCAGTGGTTGAGCATCTGCCTTTGGCTCAGGTCGTGATTCCAGGGTCCTGGGATCAAGTCCCACATTGGGCTCATCACAGGGAGCTACTTCTCCCTCTGCCTATGTCTCTGCCTCTCTCTCTGTGTCCCTCATGAGTGAATAAATAAAATCTTTAAAAAAAATTGAGGTCTGGAGATGCTAAATGAGAATTACTAAATTAAAGAAATCTAGACAAGAAAAGAACATTACATTTGAAGAAACTAAAGCCCGGAGAAGCAGTGGGCCTGACCTCACTGCTTAGACTTAGTAAATGTGATGCAGAACTTGAACCCTGTGCTTCCCTTCCACTCCTCTCCCTACCTTCCTTCTGAGAAGTTGAAAGAGTAGCTTGTCCTCACCCTCTCATGACTTGTGTGTCTCTAGTCCATTTACATACTTTTCTGAGCCTCGGTTTCCCTACGTCTGAGGTCGGAGCAAGTGTTATGTCAAGGAGCTGTTGAGGGTTAGCGTGAGTTGGTGCAGACAGACCGGGCCTACTGTAAGCACATTCAGTGGAAATCAGCCTCCTTCCTCCTTTGTCTTCGGTTATTCACAAATGCCTTGATTGATTCTCTGACCCTAGCGGCCTCTCAGTGGATCTGTACTGAGGGGGGGCACGCTCAGCGTGGCACTGAATGCTGTGGTTAAGCTCACATTCAATTTAGAGACACAAACCTAAGGGTTCCTAGTGCCAGCAGGTGTTGGGAGGAATGCCTGCCGTGGGAGTGTGGCATGGGGGTGGGGCAGGAAAGCGGGGCTTTGGGGGCAACCTCCAGGGAGGCAGAACTGGCCTGTGTCCTGTGGAATGACTGTCCTGTAACAGCAGAGCAGTGTGGAGGGTACAGGGGATGCTGAGGATGGGCTGGGCCCCCGTGGGCTGAAGCGTAATAAGGTGCGGGTGGCAGGGGGAATGCTTGTAGAAGGGGTTGGGAGGGATTTAGTCTCTGCCGCAGGGGTGGCCTCTTTTGTCCTACCCCAGCAGTAGAGGGGAGATGCCTGGTGCCTTGGCCAGCATCCCCCAGCTTATCCCCTTGCTGTTTTTGGTCTGGAGAAGGGAAGCTGTTGGGCTGTACCCACCTCATCTCCCCTCAGTCCTGTCCCCAGGGCAAACTGCTGATTCTTCTCCAGGAAACGGATTTTCACATTGTAGACTTTGTTCCCGTAAAACACCACCAACACGTAGGGTTCTGCCCTGGATTTCGTGGAACAGTCTCGGACCAAGAAAGTGCCGTCCTGCAGCAGAAGGAAGAATGGTGTGTTCTCAGGCATGCCAGCATCCCACCCTGGACAACGCTGGCAATAGTGACACTTGCATGTACCAGGTTCCCACATGGCTTTCTTTTTGGCAAACCAGTTTTGTACAATTTAATTTAGTGAGTGTCAGTGTGTGTAAGGGTTCTTGCTACTTTCTGGAAAGTATACATGACACCATTACATGTCCCTTCTTCTGAATTTTCCACAAACCCCACTGTCCTCAGTGTCATGCCTACAGCTTTAGCATCATGTTTGTGGATAAATGCTCCAGCCTGTCTTGTGGTTTTGTTTCCCCGCATCCTGGCTCCAGCCAAGCCACTGTTTCCCAAAGGCACCATCTTGCTTTTGGACTCTCAGCTTTCACATGAAACAGGCCACCTCATCTGCAGGGTGTAGTCCTCCATCTCCCCTGCTGGGGGTGCCTCCTGCACCTGCCCATCCTGTTCTGTCTGATGCTCAGGTGTTAATCTAGAGACCATGCGAGCCACTGCAGGCTTTAGCAGGAGAGGCTTTTAGCGTGATACCCGGGGCGTCTGAGAGGGATGTTAATATAGGGCTAGGGTCCCCCAAAAGACCTGGGGCTTCAGTCATTGGTAGCAGCACGAGTAGACATGGGAGTGAGGGGATAACATAGCCTCAGGTGAGCGGAAGGAAGGTGTAGCGGAAGAAAGAGGAGACAGCAAAAGGATTAAGCAGGAAACACAGAAGCTTCAGTGTGATGGGAGCCAAGGGAGAAGATGGAGGGTCTCTAAGAGAAGGCCAACAGTGTGAGATGGCTTGAGGGCTGTGAATAGGCAAGACCCCGTGTGGTCCAGCCCACCCCAGTGGAATAGCTCAGGCTGGATGTCTGCTCATAAACAGCTAGGAAATTAAGCGATTCTCCTGAATAGAAGCACACCTGCAAGGCTGGTTTTGTGGCTATATTGTGCCTTTTATATGATGAAAAAATGCTGAAAAATCTGTAACTGTAGTTGCATAGATTCTTGTGTAGATGGTTATAAATGACCTATTAGAATAGATCTAATTAGATGTGTGCAGGACTTACTATTTTTTGTAGATAGGTATTATGTATAATTTATAATTGTTACATATAATTGTCTCCATATAGACTATATTTTATATCTATATATCACTATATAACTATTATGTATAACTAATATGTATAGTTATAGGTACAGATAATGGTTTTAATACTGTATAATAATACTATAAGTTTATAAATAATACTAAGAAACTGTAATGAAGTGATAATTCTGGTAACTAAGGTTTATTGAGACTTGCTCTCCACATGCTAAGCATTTTAGGGGTGCCTGGTTGGCTCAGCCAGTTAAGCATCTGCGTTCAGCTCAACTCATGATATTAGGGCCTTGGATGGAGCCCTGCATCAGGCTTCCTGCTGAACGAGGAGTCTGCTTCTCCCTCTGCCTGTCCCTCCTGCCTTTGTGCTTGCTTTCTCTCTCAAATAAATAAAATATTAAAAAAAATGATGCTAAGCATTATACATACATTACTTCATGTGATATTTACAAAAAAATTGAGAAGTTATTTTATCCTCATTTTACAGGTAAGGGTCAAATTGCTTAAATGAATCCACTAACACATCATGGCTAACTAGTAGATTACCTAAAAGTCAAGCCCAAGTACAGCTTTTAAATGTATCAGCCTCCAAGTACATAAAGGATTGAGGAATTTTCTGGAATGTGTTCTACTTAAAACATTCAGCCGTAATTGAAATCTTAAGATTCAAGCACAGAACATTGCCCGAGATTTGAAAGGGAGAGGACACCAAGACACGGAACCAATTTTTGGTTTTATCATCTTAACCTCTGCAATGAGTTTGTCACCACGAATCTGGGCAATCCTACTATTTAAATTATCTCTTATTAATTGGAAACATGTTTTGACAAAATGGAGACAAACAGAATAGGAAAATATGAAGTCATGCAACTGAGATGCTGTTTTCTTAGTGCTTTTGTGGGAGGTAGAGAAATAGGCACAAAGAAGGGGGGCGAAATGAGCCTTGATCGAGTGCCCAAATGTTGTTGGAAGGACATTATGTGATGTATACATTGCTCTTCTAGCACCACCGACACAGCAGTTCCTGGAAGCAGGTCTTCTATGACTAATTTTTCTGTAGGAAAACAGGCTCAGAGAGTGCGGTGGTTCATTGGGTACTGATTAGCCAGGAGCAGGAGGTAGGGTTGGCAATGGCACCCTGCTCTCCCATTTACCCTGCAGAGATCAGCGAAGGTGGGATTCCCTGGGGAGGGGAAAGGGAGGGTCCTGTATGCAAGGCATCACCTAGCCACTTACGACTCCCCACTGGAATGCAGAGAACTCTAATGGCTACTGGAGGCAGTTGTGGTTTTGTGACAAGAACACTGATCTCGAATAACGACCGGTCCTGCCACTTTTTCCACTTTATGACTGAGACCTCGATTGAGCCTCAGATTCCTCATCTAGAAAATGAGATCATTCTGTTGATGCCTAATATGTTCAAGATGCTCTGTTAACTCTATTAATTTTCTATTGCTAGAAGAAACTACTATGGACTTTGTGGACTAAAATACAAATATATTCAATAGTTCTGGAGGTTGAATTTTGATATGGGTTTGACCCAGCTAAAGTCGAGGGGTCACAGGGCTGGGTTCCTTCTGGAGGCTCTTGGGAAGAATGCATTTCCTTGCCTTCTTTGGCTTCCAGAGGCTGTCAGCGGTCTTTGACTTAGAGCCCCCTTGTCCAACTGACATTTCTGCCTTGCTCTTATAAGGATTCTTGTGATTGCACTGAATTCACTTAGATATTATAATACTGTCCCCATCTCAAGATTTTTTTTTTTTAAGAATTTTTTTTATTTGAGAGACAGAACCAGTGGGGGGCACAGAAGGAGAGGACACTGTGGCATCTCAAGATTCTTAATCTAATCACGTCTGCAAAGTCCTTTTTCTAAGTAAGATGGTGTATTCACAGGTTCTAGGGATTAGAATGTGAGGCTTCTTGTTAGGGGGCATTATTCTTTTTTTTTTTTAGGGGGCATTATTCTATTTACCCTACCATTATTCTATTTATTAAATTTCATAATAACAATTCTGACAGCTACATTTTATTAAAATTCATTGGAGACCTATCATTTATTCACTCATTTACTAATTAACTAACTCATCCATTTTTGTATTTCCTCATTCAACAATAAACATTGCCCTGGTTAGTTGAGAGGCTTTGATGCTCAACCGTCTTGAGAACCTTTCTATCACTTCTGAGATATTTCTCACAACCTAGTAGAGCTTCCTGCCCACAGTAGAATAGTTACTTAGTAACTTTGCTATTTGTGATAATGGTTCTAGTAATCATTTGCTCTGATCACAAGTGTTTCAGTTCTTTTCTCCTTTTGGTCAAATGGTAGGTTTGTCCTTCCCCATCCCCTTGGAGATGAGGCCTGGCCATTTAAATTGCTTTGGCCAATGAAATGTTAGCACAGATGAGTGTTACTTTTGAGAGGATGTGCTAAGAGCTGGCGTGTGATTTGCGTGAGCACGTGTGGAGACACAGCCCTCACCAGCCTAGGTCTATGCTCCCAAACCTTTCTAGCACATGGAGCACAAGCAAGAAAGTTTTGCTATGCTAAGCAACTGAGATCTTGGGTAGTTACTAGGATAACCTATCATTTCCTGACTGTGAGCACATTCATGATCCCTGCACCTTTCCTGAAGACAGGAGACATAAAGACGCCCCTGTACTTTGGGCAGGCCTTGAGTGATGAGATGCACTTGGGACCAAGCAGAAGGTCATTGTGACCTCCATTCATACCGTAGCTTCCACATCTGATCTCCAAAATAGTTCCTTAGGGTTGATTTTACTGTTTTCATTTAACAAAGAAACCTAAGCTTAAAGATATTTTGGAATAAGAACACATGACTAATAATAAGTTCTCAGCCAAGTGCCCCTTTTAATGATCCCCCCCCCCCCAGCACTGAGAGATATAGGCTGGTGCGTAAAAGCACACTGATCAAGATGCTCTGGGACCTATGGGCAGAAAACCTGCAGATGGCTGCAGGCACGGTGAGATGGGCCCTCTAAGAAGGCATTACCTTGTTCTCCTTCCTTAATGCCTCTTCTACTGCCTGGCGACTGTGTTCTCCAATGTACCAGTCGTTGTTCTGGACGTCCTGCAGGGCGGGTCAATGATGAATATTTTAGGGTCAAAAAGAAGTACTAACGTTCATTAACAAAAGTGTACTTTTGTCCCACTAGGGTCAAACCACAGTTTGATTTATAGTAAACACGGAGTACAAACGTCCCATTCCTGGGTCTGGGAATGGACACAGAAAAAGTAATTGCAGCTAGGGGACTGTGAAACTGGCAGGACAGAGTCCATCTGTCATGGAAAGAAACCAGACATTTCACTCCCCGTCTATTGAGAAAGGTCCTTTGGCTCCACACTCAAAATGGGTAATAAACTCTCTACTGTCCATGCTTTCTGAATCTGCACCTGCTGAAGCTAAGGAGGGATGCATATTGTTTGTGGAGCCAGTGGGGCCTGAGTCCTTGTAAAACCAGCAGGGGAGGGAAAGGTGCAGATTGAGAGCATCTTTATAGCACGTCTGTGACATCACATGTCATGGAACTGGGATTCGAACCCTGGTCTGTCTGGCTTTCTCCCTGTACCATGATCCCTTATTATACCAACTGATTTATTTTTATTATAAAATCCATCATAACAAGGGTGCCTGGGTGGCTCAGTCGGTTAGGCATCTGCCTTAGGCTCAGGTCATGATCCCAGGGTTCTGGGATTGAATCCCACACCGGGCTCCCTACTCAGCAGGGAATCTGCTTCTCCCCCTTCCCCATCCCCCTCCTCCCCTTAACTTGTGTGCATGCTCTCTCTCTCTCTCTCTCTCTCAAATAAATAAAATCTTAAAAAAAAATCCACCACAACAGAAGAAAGAGCCATCAGGGAGATGTACCATGGATCTGCAATTCCTTTACTGGATCCTAAGGATGATAACATTAAACTATCCCCTGTCTAAGTCCAACATCTCCAAGGCCATTCTTCATTCATTATCCCAGACCATCCCTGCAATAGTCCTGTGAGGTAGGCATGTCAGGACAGTGCAGGGACTCAGCATCTGTCACATGGTTGGCAAGAGAGCAGTTTTTTGTTCTCCATCCTCCCAGCACATACCTGATCCTTCTGTACAATGGGTACACTAGCTCCAGCCTAACTGCAAACTCACTGGCTGCCACCCTCTGGTGGTCAAAGGATGTGGGTCTGGCCAGCCAGATGGGCTTGCTGTTCTCTGGACGTGCATAGCTTCAGGGCTTGGCATGAGCCAGCCCTGTTGTCCGGACACCCTCCCATGCCTCATCCTTTCCTCTTGCCTGGCTCTGCCATTCTCTTCCATCGAGTGGGGGGTCAGAGTCACCTCTTATTTAACACCCCCTTTGGAGTACATACCTAGTCCTTACCCCCCGAGAGGGTCCAAGGGCAGGACCAGCTCTGCTCACTCTTGCAGAGCCTTGGAACAGGCTCCAGAAACAAAGGAGCCTCAGAGCCCCATCTCCTTCTGAAGTGGGAGCTCTTGGAGCTCAGAGTGGTCTACTGCTTCTGGAGGGTCTCAGATAGTCCAGGGGCTTGGCAGGGCTTAGTTGTGGTGCCTCTCATCTCTTCTAACTTTATTTACTTCTTCAAACTAGAACACACTTAAGTGATTTTATAGTCTTGGGTTTTTCCAGGTGTGGTCATGAGTGCCAGCAGGTGAGTTTAGGTGGCACTCAGACACAGCATTAAATAACTCTGCATTAGCTGGGGGAGAAGTAGCCCCCTTTCAGTTCTCTGTCTAGCCCTTAGAATAATTCAAGAGGAAGGTTTCCTTTTTGTTCTAGTATGTCCTTAATATCTCTCTGGCATTTCTAATCTCTCCTGCAACAGAACAATCGTTGTGCTGAGAACCATTAGTGAGTGGTGGGATCTTGCTGCAATTTAATGGCCTTGTTTTGTTGGACCTAAAATGACTTAAAAATGTGGTAAAATGTCACAGTATAAGATTTACCATTTAAGCCACTTTTAAGTGTATATTCCACTGATATTGAGTATATTCTAAATGGTTGTTTTTGCATCACCACTGTCCATCTCCAAAACTTTGACATCAGCCCAAACTGAAATTCTAGATCCATTAAACAGGCTTTAAATCCATTGAATCATAAAGCCCATTCCCCCTTCCCAGACTCTGGCACCCACTGTTCTATTCTGTCTCTATAAATTTGCCTATTTTACCCTCATATAAGTGGAATCACTGCAAAAAATATTAAAAACCAGTAATATGTAACCAAAAGGGGAAAAAATAAAGCCAATCATAAGATTCTCCTAGGAATTGTTCAATAAAGCTCTCTTTTGATGCTAAGTTCATCTAGAAAGACACTGCTGAGAAATATTTGTTTTACCTTTTCATCAGAACTTGTGGGGGAAGTCTTTCTCCAGCTTGTGTTTTTATAGTGAAGCAAATTTTCCTGAGGGCTGTAACGGGCTGGAGATTGACATCTCTGAGGATGGAACTGCATGCTTTCTTTATGGTCTGGAAAAAAGGAAATTCACATATAAATATGATTTTGTTTGTGACTCAGATTGCCTTTCTCCCACGAACTGGAGCTCATCACTTCTCCCTGTGTCTGGGGCAACCTTCTTGGTCTACACCACTGTCATCTCACTTGGGACAGCAATCTCCTCTGGATTGTTCTCTTGCTTTGGCTTTTGCCCCTTTCTCTCTAAGGCATCTGGAGTAATCGTAACAAAATATAATTCTGACTTTGCTATTCTACATGGTAAAAATGCCTCCATGATTTACACCTGAAAGAAAATCTAAATGTTTTACTTCTCACAAGAGGGCCCGGAATAATTCTGTCTATCCGTCCATCCCACTTTGTCTACTCTATTCTGATCGTAATAAATTTTGTCCAGTTTCTTAAATAAGCTGAGCTTGTTCTCAGAAAACATTACTTTTTAAGTTGAAAGAATAACTTTTTGTTTTTATGAAATATCACTTTCTTAACCTAAAAGAATGACTAACAGATAAATTGTGGTTATTCAGACTTGGGCAGTTGGCAGATATTTTATTAAAAATGAACAAAGTGAGCCTGTCACTTTATGGAAAACAACTGGCAGTATTTGTTGCCAATTATAAAATTAGATTTTTCTAGTGCAAACTGGAATTTGGAAAAACTTGTATCTACCGCTATTACATAACAGCACACTTTTCTGATGAGGCTGGTGGTGTTACTTGCAAATGTAATTTTTAAAAATATTATAAAATGTCTTAACATCGGAAAGGTCTCAGATCTGTGAATCATTTTCCAAGTGACCAATGTGTGATATTACAAAATCATGCCAGGTTAAAAGATTCTTTAAAAGAGCAAGATAGATCAAAGGGCTTTAAAGTAACATAATACAAAAAGTGCATTGAAAAAGTTTAGCTTTCAGGGCAGCCCGGTGGCTCAGCGGTTTAGCGCTGCCTTCAGCCCAGGGCGTGATCTTGGAGACCCAGGATGGAGTCCCACATCAGGCTCTCTGCATGGAGCCAGCTTCTCCCTCCACCTGTGTCTATGCCCCCTCCCCCCATCTCTCTCTCTCTCTGTCGCTCATGAATAAATAAATATTAAAAAAAAGAAAAAGTTTAGCTTTCACATGGAACCTAAATTTTAAGATACTACCACTTGTCAAGTTTTGACATGGTATTTTCTCTTTATACATCAATGAAAATAGCATATTTCCACTGCATTGTCATTCTCATAAATGCTAATAAAGTATGAAATCAAAACCACAAGGAAGGAGTGAAGTGTTAGGAAAAATATGAAGTGAAGATATTTGTAAATACATTTGTAATTTTTTTTTTTTTTTTTTACTTATGATAGTCACAGAGAGAGAGAGAGAGAGAGAGAGAGGCAGAGACACAGGCAGAGGGAGAAGCAGGCTCCATGCACCGGGAGCCCGACGTGGGATTCGATCCCGGGTCTCCAGGATCGCGCCCTGGGCCAAAGGCAGGCGCCAAACCGCTGCGCCACCCAGGGATCCCAATACATTTGTAATTTAAAGCAAGGATTAACTCTATAAAAAATCATAAAGCCTTGACAGTATGAAAACAATATGAAAGTAGAATACTAGACAGTAACAACATAATGTGGAAGAAAGGTGATTAGTATGAAGGCAGAATTATAAGCTATATATATAGTCTTAATTCAGCCTAAAAAAATATAACTGATGTTACAGTCCTAGTTAGTAGCTGAACAAGAACTTTGAAAGAGTGGGATACTTTTGACAGTATACTTTGAAACAAAATACTAATAGCAAATATTTACATGCCAGTTACTATAGCATTTAGTTTATTATATGTTTTTATTCTGCTTGTCATCTTGTCATCAAAAAGCTGATTTTTTCTCTAAGTTTACTAAGAATAGCAGAATACTTCTGAAAAATATTTTACATTATATTTTAATGGTTCCAAGGATTGTGGCTTTTTTTTTTTTTTTTTTTGGATTGTGGCTTTTAATGTGGAGCTTAAGAATTACGTACCAAAATGTTTGTTGGAAAATATTTGATCACTTAAAGTTTGAATCACATTCATCATAGTAAGTTAATTTCACCCACCAATTTAAGACCTTAAAAATAGGAATTATGCTAAAGACATCTCTGATTTTCAAATTTTATAAGTAAAGGAATTTAATTTTCAAATAGTGCAGAATCCATACCATCAGAATTAGAGAATTCTGAGTTTCTTGTAATGCTTGAGAAGACGATATGAACTTCAGATTTCAAAATTCAAGCATGCTTTTATTTAAAATGTTAAAGGTCACCAATGGGTGAATAGAATTGGAATGTATAACTTCCAGGGGGAGAAAGAAAGGGGAATTAAGAGATAAACCCACTATCTGGCAGGAAAAGAAATAGTCAAAAAAGTAGGGCAGAAAGGAATCACAAAATAATATAAAACTGATCTAAAATATTAGTAATTACAATAAATGTCAAAAGTGTCAACTAAGCATTTAAAAATTAGGTACAGACTGGCTTAAAAATTCTAGTTATGTGCAATAGCATACCTAAATATAATGACAGAGAGATCACTAGTTGGAGGATAGAGGCTGTATACCAGGCAAATCCGAATGAAGAGAAAGCTAAAAGAGCTATTGAAGTATTTCTAAAAACACTTTAAAAACTTTATTTTAAATTTTAGTAAAGCAGTACACAGAGACATTACTGATATGGCTGTAGTTATCTTTTCAACATGGATGGAAACAGTAAGTGCGTATTTGAGAAAGGAAAATAACCATTATCAACAATGTCTATCACTTGGTTTGTGTAGTTTACATAATAGTGTTCAGTGATTATGAATTTTTCATTGTATTGTGGCAACTGATTTATTATATTTCAAATCTGAGTGCCTTGCTTGAATATTTAAAAAGTGCTACTTGAAAAGAGCATTTGGAAACAGCTATATGTATTTGGAGTCTATGCAGAGAATGAGTTAAATAGAACAAAACAACGAACAGAACAACTTTGCTGTGCCGATTTCCCCTGAACGTCCTTCGGATCTTAATTTAATGAGTGAATGAAATTCTGAGCGTATGTTTAACTGATTTTACTGCAAATATTTAACTGATTTTGTTTTAGAATAATGGCAACTAATCTTTATATAGTTTATATAATATATTAAATATATATTGCATATCATATATGTACATGTATATGTATACACATACACACATATATAAATGTATTTACATACATTTACATACATTTATATATTTACACATATATTTTACATAAAACTGCATTTACTTTTATAACTGTATGAAATAGGACTCTCCTACTTGGAGAACACAGGGTCATATTAATGAAGAGATTGACATAGGGTAGATAGAACATTATGGGGAGGGGGACACTGTATAGGTGGTCAATAAAATTTGAGGCAGGATAGCCTAATAAAAAGGCATGCATCATAGAATCATATTAATATCCATAATTACTAATATTTCCAAATTCTTCTGTATATAAAGCTGTCAGTGTAGTGTTTGACCTCTACTGATTACTCAAAAAACACTACTGCTTGTGTTGTTAATGTTGTAAGAGAAACACAGTTCTAGGCTTTCTTTTTTTAAGCTGTATAGAAGCATTTTATTTTAAGCAGGTATCCATACATATTTATTGGCAAATTTTAATTTACTCTTACATGCAATTTGAAAAGTAATTTTAAGAAAGGGCCATATCTTTTAAAGAATATTTAAAGAAAACATCGGAAAACAAAAATTTAAAACAAAAAAGAACATAGATCATCCACAATCCCAAGCTTAAAGAGTAATGTTGTTATAATTTTGGAGTAGAGCCGAAGCTTTCTGGACCCTCTTCCAATATATCAAAATATTTTTTTTGTTGTTCTGATAACTATTTGCTTAGGTTCTGTGATGCTGTGATGAAACATATATTTGGTTGTAGTCAGTTTCTAACAGCAGCTCTTAAAACCTTTGGAATTTCATAAGTGATACAAATGATCAGGTACTCATATTTATAATAACCCCCTTGCAACCACACCTGGGTTTATGTTAATGAGGTGACTTTTGGAAAGTGCCTAAGGATGGGGGATCGTTGACAGGTAAACCAGCCAAGCGACTGGAGGGTTGAAATTTTTAGTAGGGGAGTGAGGGAGGGGCTGGAGGTTGAATCAGTCACCAACAGCCAGTGATTTCATCAATCATGCCTATGTAATGAGGCCTCTACAAAACCCCAAAGGATGAGGTTCAGGATGCTTCTGGATTTGTGAATCAGAACACATCCCCGTGCCATCATACAGGGACCCAAATGCCATGAGGACAGAAGCCCCTATGTTCAGGACCTTGCCCTATGAATCCCTTCCATCTGGCTGTGGCTGAGTCATGTTCTTTTATAACAAAATGGTAATCCAGCAAGAAGAATGTTTCTGTGTGTTCTGTGAGCCCTTCTGGCAAATTAATTGAATCTAGGTAAGGATACTTGGAAACCTTGTATCTATAGCTGGTTAGTAGAAGCCTAGATGACAACCTGAGCATATGATTGGCATCTGATGTGGGCTGGTGGGGTATAATCTTGTGGGATTGAAACCTTAACTTGCGGGATCTAATGGACTCCATGTAGTGTCAGAATAGAATTGAACTGTAGGTCACCCAGCTGGTGTCGAGAATTGGCTGGTGCTGTGGAACCCCCTACTTTGGAATTGTTGGGTACAGAATTATCAGACTCCTAATAGCCTAGCTTGAACTCATTAATCAGGGAATTGAGCCAAGTCTGCTTATCAAGTAGTAGCTGAACTCAAGAATAAGCATTTCCCAAATTCCTTTCTCATTTGTGGAATAAGGATGATGATATCTACATTGGCAGAAGTGTAGATTTCACTAGTCTACACAGAGAGTACTGCCTCCCTCAGTTTAGCACTCAAATTAAAACCAGTAAGCTTTAGAGAGCCCACTAGATTGAAAACCGAGTGTTGGGATTGTGTGGTTTTCTGTGCACCTAGTTTCTGCCAAGCCCTGGTGATCCAGAAATGAATTTTCACCTAGTAGAATGAATACCTGCTCAGTAAGCTGATGGAGGAACATCACAGGTATGAAAACACTGGTTAGCTGAAGGGAAGACCTATCTCTGTTCTGTATTCTTAGGGCCCAGCCCAATTCTGTATACAAGCCAGGTGCTTCATGGATGTTTGATAACTGAAAGAGGAATCAGTGGTGTTTGAAGGCTCTGGAAACCTTACCCCTGTCCATTCTGGGCTGCTTCCTTAAGAAACTGTTTCTTAGACATGAATGGAGAACAGTTTGCCAAACCTCAGTCCTGGTGATATACTCCCAGCCCCAGGATGCTTGACTGGACACATGTCTGTGGAGGCCATCCACTTCACTAACACTGCTGTTCCGATCTTTAATTGCTCTTCATTTTTCACTTGTGCATAGTTTTGTCTTTCAAGTTAAGACTTTGGGATTCTCTGTAAGATCATTCTACCTCTCCATCCCTGCTGCATATTCTCACAACTCCTGCTCAGCCCCTGGACCATCCCCCTGGATGCTCCAAGTCTTTCTATCTTCATCACCTAGATCTGGCCTCCAGGACTACTGTTTCTGCCATTTGATTCTTAGGGATTGAGCCCATCCTATTTATCACAGCTCCTTCTGACTGCCTTCCTTTAAAAAAGGAAGTCCTCTCTTGGGAAACTCTTATTAGCAATAAGGCACATCAGAGAAAATAAGCTTACCAGATTGGTTTTCCAATCTAAGGTTCAGATAGTATAGGGCAGAAGAAGAATAAGGACAAGGTGGAGGTGAGGTAGGAAACTCAATTCTAATGGGCCAGTTGGATAGGGAATCCCTAGAGAAGGTAGGGTATTTATTAAAATGTGTCAGTTGCCTACTATGTGTCACATGACGCCGTGTGCGTGCGTGCGTGTGTGTGTGTTTAACTCTGTGAGTTCATATTATTGTTTGTATTTTATGGATGGAAGAGGGAGAGGATCCAAGAATTAACCTGTTCAGGATGACCCTATTGCAGGGAGAAAGGCTGCATTGGGACTTGGTCAATAGAACCCTCAGTCTATTCCACTATATCCCATGGGGTCTGCTTCTTTCAGCCCTAAGCCCTCTTGTGGCTCAGCAGAAAGAGATTGCAGGATTAGACCTGAACACAGAATCTACATAGCATATGAATGAAGAAAGAAATGCAAAAGAACGTGATAGAGTTATTTGAACAAAACAATACTAATAATATCAAAACCTACCAACAGTAATATAACACTATATGCTGCTGTAGGCATCTCTGCAGACAGGTATCCTATGTTCATCTTTACAGTCAGTTGGTAAAAGGAGTCAATCTGATTTCCTTTGTTTGACAGACTTATAATGAATCTGTCTTATAACCAAAGGATTTGCAAAAATTAAAAAGTTTTTCAGGAACAACTGTTGGAGACGATGGGGAATGAGGAGTACTCATATGCCGTTGGTGACACTACTATGTCTACTTTGGAAGATGCATCGAGTACAATCGAAGAGAGGCATACTTTCCAACCCAGAAATTTCACTCTTAGAGAAGTTACCATGTTGTGTACCTGAGAAAACTTCTAAAATGTTGTTCATGACATCATAATGTTCTTAAGAAGAAAACACTGGAAACCACCTAAGTGATCATATTGAATGACCGATCAAAAATTTGTGATATTGACATAATGGAATACTATCTTTCAATGAAAATGAGCTAATTGCACCTACATGCATCACTTCAATGATGTTGAGGCTCACAAATCTAAGTCACAGTGCAGGAATGTTGTAGTGTGATGGCTTACCTGTTTGTTTTATAATTCTTACCTGAGGTGCTCTTACCTCTATTTTGTACACTGTGATTCCTCATCATGAATGGTGAGCTAAAGGAAATATTAGAATTGACAGAATGTTGGTGTTTCTTATTATGGTAGGTGAAATTCCACTCAAAGGCAAGGTCAGTCATAATGGACTAAGTCTCACTTACAAAGCACTTTATATTTAACTGGCTGTGTCACAAGAATTTCTGTTTTGTAAGGTAATAGGAGGCTGGTTCTTTTTCTCTTTCTTAAGGCAGGCCAACAGATATGGAACAAATTGAGCCATACGAGTTCTTCCTATTGTATTTCAATGAGCGCGTATCATGATTCTTTGCTTTTGGAAGCCATGAATTCAGACTTGCCTCGTAATTACAAGTCATTATAGAAAATGATATGTGGTGGGTTGAGGCTAATATTCTATAGAAATTGTTTAGTAGTTGAGAAGAGTGAGGCAAGCAAGAGGAGCACAGAAGTTATTTTGCTCCTCTATCTTGAAATGTGAGCTAAGTGAGAAAACTGGATTATTATAAAGAAATCCATATAAGAATTCCTTAAAGAAAAAGGATCATAAAAATAAAATAAAAGACGGGATGCCTAGGTGGCTCAGTTATTGAAGTGTCTGCCTTCGGCTCAGGTCATGATCCCAGGTTCTGGGATCGAGCTCCATGTCAGGCTCCCTGCTCAGTGGGGAGTCTGCTTAGCCCTTTCCCTTTGCCTCTCCTCATGGCTTTTGCTCTCTTTTGCTCTCTCTCTCTCTCAAATGAATAAATAAAATCTTTTAAAAATATAATAAAAGACAATAAAAAGAACAATATGCAAGTAAGGGAAGGGGAGGTCATGCCCCTGATGTGGAGGGCTGGCCATGGCAGTGAGAGCTGATATTTATCGGGCACTTGAAACAGGTCTGGCTCTGCTCTTAGCTTCTACTGTAGGATGAGTAATGTTGCCCAAAGATACGGTTTGCTAATGATGACGCTGGGCAGTCTGATTCTGGTGAGCCTCTCCTAATCATGACTCTGTTCTACCAGAAACAGGGTACACTCCTGTAAGTATTTATTGAATAAATAAAAGATAGCATCTTAACTGTGGGCAGGGCACCGGGGAAAGTCAACATCCATGCATTTTCAGAATCAAGCCATTATTGGCAGCATGGGCTACTAAAAAGTGTCTGGGCTTTGAAGCTGGACTTGAGTGGTAAGGAGCTCCGCCTCTTTGGGACTCGTTTACTCCCTTTGGGGAGTGGGTCAAAACTATCTCCTAAATTCAGTGTCACTTTAAGCTGGGTCTGGTGGCTGAAGAAGGGTTTCCCAAGCAGGGAGAGGATGGAGAGAGGGAAATATGGGGGAAAGTGATATATAGAGAGAGGAATAGCATGTGCCAATGTCCTGCAGTCAGTGACAACAGGGATTGAGACCGTGAGAAAGTGGCATGAACTGAGGTAAAGCCACCGGCCAGCCTGGGATCATGGAGACCTTAGAAGCACTAATTTTGGAGGCCCTGGATATTGTTGTAAGGAAGCCACCACTAATTTGTAGTGACCTTGGTCAGTGAATCAACGGGCCTGAGCCTTTGCTTCCTCAGATCTTCAGCTGGGACAGCAGTTGTCACAATAACCTGATCAGGCAAGTCTTAAATCAGATAATGGCATTTCCAACCTCCAACCCTCTATGAAGTTTTGTTCAAAACTGTAAGTTTGTGTGTGGTAACCTACAAGCAACCAACTGAGAATAATATGAGATGACCAACTTTTCTCCCCAGAACGATTTGCGTCCATTTCAGTAAATCCTGTCTAGTTAACATCCAAGCCTTCAGATCTCCCTGACTTCTCTAACAAGCAATCACTAGTAAATTGCAGGAAGAACAATGCCATTAGCTTTCCGTAACAACTGTGACTCACACATTTCCCTTGGGCCTCATCATTGGGCTTTCAAAGACCAAAGATTTCCCATTTCTCAGGAAGCCTTGGTGTGTCATTATCCAAGACAACACATGGCCTGACCCCCAGGCTGCCTCCCAACAAGGCATTCCTGGCTCCTTACCTGGCAGTGACAAGAGGGATCTCTGGAATACTTTGAGTTTGTGACAGGTGAATTGATTCAGGCTTCATCTGATAATGAGGAACTGCATAAAGGAGTCATATAATTTGGTCAGATTGTACAAAGAAAGTGAGACCTAATGGAACTTCTATAATTTCTCTGATTAGTAGGAGCGGGGCTGTTTGTGGTCAGCAGAAACTGTGATCTACATATTCCATGACTCCCCTGGCCCCGGGCACAGCTTCTCTCTGAGGCTCTGAAAACTGCTTTGAATAGTGAATATTCAAAAATATGGAGAATAATGAATCTGGAATTCATCATTGAGCTTCCTGAAATCCAGAATATTACATTGGAAGGTATTTGGTACTGGAAGGGGTTGACGGGGAAGGGAACCAAAGTTGAATTCCACATTCAAATGAAAACTTATGCAGGGACATAAATAAAAAAGTGAAACCTGAGAACTCCTCTGGCCAGGGGGCTGCCCAGTGCTTGGTCCATGCTCTCCAGAAGTCTCTCATCTCCTCTGTGACAGGGTTGGAGAGCTCCTAGGATTCTGATGTAGACCAGCCTTTTCTACCTGCTTGCCAGCAGGAATACATTTTTCTCAGTTTTTCCCTTTTGATCTCTAAATTTTGAAAAGTTCTGCCAACCATATGAACTGGAGTTATTTAGTAATTACATATGCCACGCATGTGACCACTATTTATTTCCTTTTCATTATGAATAGATTTTAATCTGGCATTCAAATCACCAAGGGCATATAATCATACTATGATATGAAATGCCATAAAACACTCTTCCAGTTGCTGTTGTATGTAGTAAAGTTAAGGAAGCTTATCGACTTCATGTCTTAGTTCTGGTTGTTGCTCTGTGCTCTTGCTCTGTCCAAGGTGGGTCACAGACTGGACACCTTCAATTGAGGGCTATGATTACTTGCAATATGATTGGGGTCGATGCCTGGTCTACTAGTCTCCCATCCCATAAAATCATTTCATGTCCTCAGCAGTAACCCTGAGCCTCTGCCCCTCATGAGCGGAGCAACATGACATCTTTGGACTGATAATCATGGAAGTCCAAGCTGACAACATCTGAACATTTTATTAGGATGTTGAGCTTCAGTGTGGAAAAGGACACAGTTTCCTTTAGGTTTTAAAATTATTTAGAATTGCCAGCTGGCTCCCACTTCTCCAACAGGGACACTTGAGAATCGGCAAACCCAGGTGAGGCCCACTCAAGCCTAACTTCCTCAGTATAAAGACGAGCAGACTTGAGACCCACAGAGGCAACACAATGTGTCCAAAACCACACAGTGAGTTGGTGGCAGCCTCTGAAATCCTAACCCAGTGGTGCTTTGTGGAATTATGCTGTCTGTATTAACTCTGGGCCATGGCTCAGGCCCTTTGGCTTTGACATAATTCATTATTGTAAGCAAATGGTGAATGGTATTTCAAAGGTAGGCATGAACTTACTGCTACTTAGCATCTTGCCAACTACCAAGTGAATGTTGGATTGCATTGCACAATGACACCAACAATGTGTACATGTGTCTATGTGTGTGTGCCCTCAAATGAGGGTATATGTCTGTGTGTGCATGGGTGACATCAAAGCTGGGAAGACCAAGAGCTTCTCCTTAGCAGTGCACTGGCCATCCATGTCTTCTAAAGTGGTGCAGGGGCTGGCAGTGGGCCTCCTTCTTTTCAGTTGCCTGTGGCAGAAGCAGGACCTCCAGCTCACCCCCAATTTAAATCACCTTATTTCAACCAGAGGGCTCTTGAGTAGACTGTGGGATCCTGGGCTTGTCTGGATTACATCATCATGCACACACGCAGGTGTTCGTGTATCCCAGGCCCTGAAACAATCCTTTTAAAAAATAACTAGTGCCATAAATCTGGAAATGGAACTTAACCTCATGGTATCAGGTTATGAAAACAAATGTAAACAGCTTACCTCTCTCTGTTCCTAGGACCTGCATTGAATGAACAAAAAAAAAAATAGTAATATTGAGTGACTCTTGGTGATAGAGAATTTTATATTAAACCCTGTGTTTTGGAGCAACTGGTTAGTGGAATTTGGGCAACATTTTTGTTAGTATAAATTTTTAAAAACCTACAAATAATTCTCCAAAAGACGAAGCAATAATCAAAATGTTATACTCTCTGTGTGATGCAACAGGCAAATATGCAGTCTGCCGATGAGGTCATAAGTTACTTTGACTCTTGTGAAAACAGCTGAACCATAGCTGTCAACAACCTTAGGATTGCTCCTATTCTCGTCCCAATAGTTCCTAAAACACCTGAAATCTGGACCAAGTTCCATGCACAAATATGACCAGTATATCATTACCTATAGAGTCAAGCCCTGGAAACAATCTACATGCCCTTCTAAGTGAGAATGGATAAGTAAATATTGGTGCTATACTGACTTATTGGAATATTAAAAATGCATTCCAAGTATTTATATAGAGTATGAAATAGCATTATACTACAAGCATGTCTCAATGTTACATGAAAAGTTCAGGCTGCAAACTGGACTTATGCTGTATTTACTTGCAGGTGTGTGTGTGTGGGTATGGGTGGGTGGGTGTACTGACCCTGGAGCCCAGGTCTCCTGACTCAATTGGACTTCGCAGACAAGAAACCTTTAGCAATAAATAGCTCAGAGAAGCATTGGATCTCTTGTTTGAAGCTAGCCGACAGACAAGCCCCTTTGTTTTGAAGACCTCGGTGTCCCCTTGGGTTCTGGAAAGAGGCCATACATTTCATCATGGACAGCAAATGAGGCAATTCTATAGGCTAAGTAAAAAGGGTCATGAACATTCTAATGAGTGGTTTGTAAGTCTCCCCACTGGGTCTTCCCCAGGACTTTGGACCTCGCAGTTCAAAGTGCCCAATCAGAGGTTATTGTGGAGACAGTCTTGTCCAGGACAATCTCAGGCTTGTTGAAAGAGTTGGGGGAGCAGAGCTAGAAAAATGGCTAAGAAGCCATCTGTCTGGGAGAGCAAGTGTTTTGTTTAATTGCGATCCAGCCCACTTTGTGCTTGAGGGCTCTGAATTTAAAGTGGAATGCAATTAGAAAAGTGGGCGAAGGGACACCTGGGTAGCTCAGCGGCTTGGCCCCTGCCTTCAGCCCAGGGTGTGATCCTGGAGACCTGGGATCGAGTCCTGCATCAGGTTCCCTGCATGGAGCCTGCTTCTCTCTCTACTATGTCCCTGCCTCTCTCTCTGTGTCTCTCATGAATGAATGAATGAAATCTTTAAAAACAAAAGTGGGGGAAAATCTCTCTAGTTTACCTACTTTACCATTTCGTTTGGTTATTAAAAAATAAACATATTCAAGCTACATAGTAATGCCTCATTACGTCCCTCCCTCCATCCCTCTGTCCTTCTTTCTTTCCTTCCTCTTCCCCTCCCCCCCTTTTTCTTCTTTTTTTTTCTTTCAAGCTACTTTCACTTGGAGGTGTCTCTGTTTCCTGAGGTAGAGAGTCATAGAGTGGGGAGTAGACCTGGACTTTCAGAGGCTGGCCTGGTCTGCTGCTGCTGTGGAGACTCTGACAAGTCTTCCACCTCCTCGAGGCTTCTTCTTCTCTTAGGGTTTTATGAGAATTAAGTGAGACAATGAGTCTCTCTTTGATGTGCTCTGTGAATTTGAGTTGGGGTGGGCAGCACACCATTTCTGCTGGGAATGGGTTCAGGTTCCCAAGATATAATGTGAGTAAGCACTTCACACCCAAGGATGGCATTTGCCCCAGGATATGGGCTTTTGTGGTGGAGAAATGGCCTTGACTCTTGGCCCAGACAAACAATGGGGAAGTGTCTTGGCAAAAGATAAGGAGGAAGAATGTGTTTTCCACTAGGCTGTGTTGTTTAGATGATATCTACTTCTAGAATACCAACCAAAGACAAAGAAAACAGATTGTCCTGCTTGACCCCTGTTGTCTAAGGCTGACCTCACTACTTCCTTCTTGCTCCTTAGTGATCGGAGGGCCTATTGTCTTTGCAGGCTGACCAATTAATTTGTGGACTATAGATCATCTTGGGTGGCAGCCATCTGCTATTGGAGACACATCAATTTGACCCACAGGAAGAAAGTGGTGGAGTCCAAGAGTGCCCAGCAGCAGAGTGCCACACCTGCCTTTCTCCTTCCTGGTGGCAGTTGGAAAATCTAACAACTCCCAAAAGAGGGGGAACTGGGTGAGGTCCTGATGAGAACCAGGGCAGGCCTTCTCATTCAGGAGTTATGTACCATCCTCCTTGCCATGATTGTCTGATGGATGAAAGGTAGTAAAAGTGTCTTATTGAGTGACAAGTGAGAAATGTGACGTTTGATTTTAGTATTTTCATAAAGCCAAATAAAAGACAGATGGAGAGACAGAACAAAAGAAAGAAAATAAATTAACCTGCCACCTCAATGTAGGAGCATAGTTGACATACTAAGGCAAGAACCAGGTCCCTTAGGAAGCCACTGGGAATGAGATGAGGTCACTCTGGTTGTATTACCAGGACTTTCCATCAGTTACAGCAGACCCACCACTTCTTAGGGAACTTCCTCATTGGGGGTCAAGGAACTGAATGTGGAGGGGCTCTAAGGCAGCTCCATAGCCCCTGACTTTCATCCCATTTATTGAGCTTCTACTGCTCACTTGGTTATTGATGCATTTGCTTTGACTTACTTTAACTTTTTCATAAAAATTTTGCAAAGAAGTATATCTTTATTTTATGGCCGAGAAAACCAAAAGAAGGGTGGATTGTGTGTGTGTGTGTGTGTGTGTGTGTGTGTGTGCGCGTGCGCATGCACGCCCAGGGGAGAGAGACTTACCAAAGTTCACAAAGGTGGTATGTGGCACAGCTAGATTCAAACCCAGTTCTGTGTGGGTTTGTATATCAAAATTTTCGTTCTGAGCCATCTTGCCTTTCTTGTGAAGAACAAATGGCAAGGTATAGTACAGTTGCAACAACTTATTTCTATATAACTGAAGACTGGAAGCCTTCCGTGGAAGCCTTGTCTTCCATGGAAACTGGGATGCTATTCATTGGACCAGGGAACTCTAAGTACTGAGTTTACTCAAAATAAAACAGAATAAGACCTTGGTCTAAGATCTGGATCTTAACGTGTTTTGGTTCAGTTTTCTCATTTTTAAAGTAGGGATAATAATACATTTTGAGCATAGCTATTATGAAAATTAAGTGTGATAAAGGCTCCAAATCAAATAGTGTCTTGCCCATCACAGACTCTAATGCACAGAAATCCTTCTTTATTTCCGAGGACAAAATTGTCACTTACCTCACTTAAGTCCTTTAAGCTTATTTGCCTGTAAGGAAAAGAAATACGGTGTTACATAAAGTACAGTTCATAATGATCAAGATAAAATCACTCTGAGCCCTTAAAAGCCCTTGACTGCATTTTCATTGCCAAATTAACTGCCCATGGTCCACTGTGATATTCATCACTGTTCTATAAAGCAAAAGCCAGGTTATTTTTTCTAATAATTTTCTAAGCTACTGAAGAAGTTACAAGGCAATATGAAAGATGGTGACAGAAAGGACGTGAATAAACTAGCTTTTCATTTTCAGAGAATTTAAATAACGTCATCTTTTCTCCTTATATTTAGTTTTCTGTGTTGGATTCATTAGCACAGTCAGATCTGCTACTATTACCTTGATTGCAAACCGTTAGTGTTTTGCTTTGAGGAAGTGTGATGAGTCCTACGTATGAAATTGTAGGGTCTGATGGGATCCCAGGAAGCCACGTGTCAGAGGAGGGAGGCTTCCATGAGAGGGTTTGAGACAAACCATGGAATGAATGATGAGACAAGAACTCAACACGCAGTGCGGTAATGTGAGGTCCTGGGCAGGTCTCAGAAGAACTGGCAAGCCTTTCATGGATTATGACAATTTAGTCAATTTGCCCCTCTGAGCCTCATCTTTTTCATCTGTGGACTGGGACTGGCCACAAAGCCATTCATCTTGGGGGGTTATTGTGAGGATTGCTAGAGATAAGGATGACAATGTGGGGCACTCCGTGAGCACTGCTGTTGGAATGTGGTCAAAGTCAGATGAGGAGTGATGAAAAGTGTGGGGGTGATGGGCACATTCTATCTGCCTTGGTCTGCTGGTGGGAAACTGGCCCTGAGGGAATGTGGGGAGGTTGAGGCAGCAACACCAGCCTCAGATGGAGACTGTTGATCTAGCGTGATGGAGATGAGCCCCGGAGCACACAGTGCTCGGATCATGTATCCTGCTCTGAGACCACCAAGCAGCAGGCAGTTGGACCAAGGGCCATATTTTGCAACCAGTTCATCAGCCCATCAGAGTTGGTACATCGGTACCAACTGGTACTCCCTGTCTCCCCCTTTCAATGAGGCAAATTAGACGATAAAGAGATATGGCTAGAGGTAATAAAGTAGAACAAACACCCATAGTATTAATTATTTGGGTTAAATTGAGGCTAATTTCTGTTTTTAATGTTTAAGAGATCTGGCATTTTAGGACTACTGACCAATTGGCCATGTGGCTTCAATTTAAATTGTGCAATTGATTTTAGACTTGTGATTTTAAGTTACAAGAGTTAAGCTATGTTTGACTCCATTTATAAAGAATTTGAACTGTTTGAGGGAACTTGAATTTTTCTAGATTTATATATTTACCTTATAAGATTTATAAAATCGTTAAAATTTTGCTTGTTAGGGTTTAAAGTTAGATATATAAAGGTATTTCAAATGCTTAAGGAGGTTTAACTGAATTTGTAAATAAGTCTTACTGTCTAGATTCCTTAACCTACCTAGTGTGACAGTGTCCTTCTGTTGAGATAAAATTGCTCAATTTATAAATACAGCAATATACTTTTTAATGGAAATTTGAGGCTTTAGAAAAGCTAGGCTTTGGAAGTGGTAACATTAAAAAACTGGATTTTTAAGTGAGAACCCAAGTCATTATAGGAGGGTTTTCTGTGCACAGCAATGTCTTTGGGCATGGAAATGCCTATGTTGGCAAGATTCTACAAGTTAGTCGCTCCCTTTACCTATAAAATGAAGGCATCAGGCTTTGGTGGTGGTTGGAGGGGCAGGGGTCCTCTTAAATGACATTTATGAGGATAGAGAGACCTGCACAGTCACAAAATGGCAGAATAGGGTGGGCATTTGGCTCCTCACCGCATCGCATTGCCTCTCTGAGAGCAACTTTCATCTTGTGTCAGTTGTCCTGTGTTCTCTTTTGGAGATGGCCAGCCTATAAGCCATGGTCACTGCCTACATAGCATGAATAAGCTTCCCCTCCATCCTTTTCTCTGCTTAATTGGTTGCTCATTGTGTATTTGAGGATAATCCACTTTACTATAAAAATAGCCATTTTTGAGTGTCCCTTAGATTTTGCTTAGTTTTAAATAAACTGGGTTTGAATCCTTGCTCTGTCATCTGTGAGCTCCCTCATCCTCAGGAAGTGAAGCCCCTTCTCTGAAGCTTGATTTTCCCACCTGTAAAATGGGTAAACCCACACAGAAATGAGGAGGGTTGATTAAGGTGCTCATGAAATAATATACATGAAAGCTATTTGGAAGAAAATAACACCTTCTGTCCTCAGAACACCTTTAACAGTCATATTTTCTTTTAAATAAAACTTTTGCTCCAACATAATTACGGGTCTTGTGCTCCTGTAAGAAGTAATGCAGAGAGATCTTGTGTGCATGTCACCCAGTTTCCTCCAATGGCAACATCTTGCAAAACTATAATGATAATAATTAAATTCATGCTCTCAAATCCATAGTTCCCATCCATAAGTTCCTGTTCCCGTACAAATTTGTGTATCTTCATGGTAATCCGGGCTTCCTTTCTCTTAAAGGACTGTGGTTTCTCAATATCTCCATAGATTCTTTTGTTTGCACTTCCCACATCATCAGAATGTACAGTTTTGTCCTTGAAATTGCTTGAACTGATGCGGTGCCAGCTTTGCTGGTTCAAAGGGAAAACTGTAGTTAGGTGAACAGGTGTTTTGTGGTTAAATATCAGGTACCTTCTTTAAATTACATTCTGGCTGAATCCTGCACAGAGGGGTTGGAGTTTGCTAAAGCTGCAGGGAGACGTCTCAACTCATGACCTCTGTATTTCTGCGTCCCCCTCAGTAAACTGGGGGTTGTGATACAGCTCTCTGCACAGTGTGGTTGGGGGACTACATGAGGTAAAGCATCCAAAAGACCCCAGAGTTGGGTCCATTGTGTAACAAGCACTCAGCAAAGTTCCATTCCTCTGACAATTATTCAGGATGCTTTTATTTGGTGCATGTGCCATGGTATTAAAATTACAAAGGCTACATCGTGGGAAAGTTATTCCCTTTTTAATCTCTTTCTAATTATGTCAAAGAGAGAGTTTCAATACAGAGGTTACTTTATCCAAATACTGCTCTTACATTTTAGTTGTCTTCTCTTTTAAGAGACAGAAAATGCCCCAGGCTCAAAATTTTGGTCTGAAATTGGCTGTGTTGTAGTGACGGTAATGATGTTTCCCTTTTAAATACATTTACTTACCTTAAAGAAAATGAGCTGAGCAAAAAATAATTAAGTACACGGATAGGATAAAAATCATAATAATGGTCCATGAAGGGAATGCCCCACAAACATTCCCCAGACTTCAAAGTCCTCTTCTAATTTTCAGTCGTCAGTGAAGGATTTAAGTTGCATGTTCATTAACAGAAGTGCTTCTGTTCAGCAATGGTTTGGTGAAGCCAAGACCTAGCTTTCAAATGGAGACTGGCCGAGCCAGGGGAGACAAATGGATGCAGAAATAGCCAGAGCCACATTCACTGTCAGGGGAGCAGAGGCCATTGTAAAGGGCTACAGCTGTCAGCTGCCTTCCGTGGCTGCTGTGGACTGCTACCTGTCAATCACTGCCTCCCCTGACGGAGGGCCATCCATCCCCCAGAGCCTAAGGAGCAGCTGGTAGGAGGGGAGTGGGCCCTAGTCTTCCTGAATGGGCTGAAGCAGCTCAGCTCTCCAGTGTCCCTTCTGTTTTCAGAGACAGTGAACCTAGCCACAGCCTCCTGTGGTTGTTGACAGTCAACATGTGTGTCATTAGTAATGGCCATCTGACTACCAATATGGTGCCCAACTCAGAATGAATTTGGAAGCTCTCCTCTTATAGCAAAACTCTTTCTCATTCAGGGTGACATTCCTGATGTCTCACACAAGCTCTGTTTTTTTTTTTTTTTTTTTTTTTGATCCCTCAGGGGTCCTACACCAATCCTATAACTTTGATCAAGTCACCTAACGTCTGTGAATCTTAGTGACCCTATGTACCCGATGGTTAGGGAAGTGATTTTTACCAGGCACCTTTTATCAACCAGCCACCAGGCCTTCAAAAACCATCCTTTAGAGGACTCCTGGAAGGATACAGTGAGGTGGGATGTAATGACCCTCTGGAGAGGTTTATGGTAAAGAGACCCAGCTAGGTTCTCGTCACTTCTAAAAGTGATTAAACAAATTTAATTATGGCTGCAGAAACCCCAGTGATGCAAAATGGAGATTTGTAAAGATTCCAACACGATGGCGTTGGCTGCATAATAAGCTGTAGTGATCCAGACTGCAGAGGAACTCATTTACACCTCAAGTGAGCATTATTTTAGACACTGGAAGCTTGAGCATATGTAGGGAAGGCCTAAGGCCCGTCAAAGCTTTGCAGATAGATTCCTAGAACCTGGTTCCCTCTGGGTCCTTAGCCCTGCCTGCGCATCAGCTTCACCCCGGAGAGCTTTAAAAAACAGTGATGGCTCCTTCTCATCTCTATGAGTGATCGAAGCAGGTAATGGGGAATAGTACTTTTTAAAAAGCTTTCCTGATTATTTTAATGTAAAGCCAGGATGAGGAACATTGCACTAGAATATATAGCCTGTATTTCAAGAGGAAAAATAGGGTTATAGGTGCCTGATTCTGTCGGGTACATATGGGAGATGATGTTCAGGTGTTTTTCTTTCTTTCCTGTGCAGTGACAGATATTATCCTAGGCACCCTAGAGAAATCACCACAACTCTGTCACAGGGGGATGGCTATGCTGTTTTCACAAATAAGGAAACTCAGAACTGTCATAAGAGCTTTATGAGCTGATACAGCCAGAAGTGGCTCAGCTGGGATACAAGCCCAGTTCTGCTGGGTCCCAACACCTGTTCTTTCCAGCATGAAGAAACAGAAGGAAGAGAAAATTCTCTTTTTCTCCATCCACATTGAAGAACCTCATGAGCTCTGATATTTTGTTCATCCTGTGTTCTATCTTCTTAATTCTCTGAGTTTTGACCAGTTCTGAACATGTTAGACTATTTGGTCAGTAGTCCCTGGGAGTGATACATTTTACATTTCAAATACTGATGACACCACTTCACGGGTTTGACGGTCTACTGTTGGCTGTTGTCTTTCACACTTTGAAACTAGAAATCAAAACAGAGCACATTTGGTGACTCCCGGTCTGGCTAGGACCCTCTGGAAACTGCAGAAGGAATTACAGATTTATCAAAAGTGTACTGTGTGCCAGGCACTGTGCTAGGAACTACTCATGCTGAAATAAGTCAGTGCCTCCTTTTGGGGTGAAACAGACAGTCTTGCATCCAAATAATTATACGGGGTCGGGGGTGGGAAAGCCGGCAACAGGAAATGGCTCCAGCTAATGGGAGCCACAACTATGTGCTGGACAAGCAGTGTTGAACACTTGGCATGATTAAGCTTGTGTAATTCTCACATTAGCCCATGAGCTAGGTGGTAGGTATTACTGCAATCCTCCCTTTACCACTGAAAAAGGCCAGAGCTGGGTGAAGGTGAGTAATTTGCTCTAAAGGATTTTCTCAACCTCTGCACTATTGACCTTTTAGGACCCATTATTCTTTGTTGTGGGCCTGTTCCATACACTGTAGGGTGTTTAGTGGTGTCCCTGGCCTGTACCCACGAGATGCCAGGAGCATTCCTGCCATTGACATGTCACAAAAAAATTTGTCTCTGGACACTGCTAATTTCCCTTGAGGGCCAAGTCACCTCCAGCTGAGAACTGCTGCCCCAAATCTGCCCATTCAGAAGAAGAAGCACCTAAATTTTAGCTGGGGCAGTTGGAATCGACACCTGAGCGCTTGTATCCCTCCCCACACTGTGAGGCCAGTGGAGAAGCCGGCAGAGGAGGTGAGATTGCACGGGGGAGAGCGGGAGGTGTGTTTGCGTGGGGCTGCAAAGGATGAACAGATGAAGAGACATTCACCAGAAAAAGAAGGGGGAAATGGCATTTTAGGCTCTTCCACGTTCCCATCAGAACCTGACTGGGTTTTCCACAGAAGCTCAAAATATGCCTGATATTTTCAATTTCTGGATCTTTGAAGAAATGCTTACTAATTAATGCCTTGGCTCCAATCTGCTGATTCAAGATTGCAGTAGGAAAGTGTCATTCACTCCATGCAGGAGCAAAGAGAAATGCTAACTTCTGCCTTCTAAAATAAGGCGGTTTTGGAAATTCAAACTCTGTTGGAGGGGAGGAGGGGAAGCCCATTCACATTTGTTACGTGTTGTGATTGTTGCTGGCTGCCAGATGCCCCACGTTTGGGAGTGGGGCTCTGTCGTCAGCTCTTCATGCCAGAGTGTTGACTTTTTAATTATTTTCCAAAAACATTATTGTCAAACCTGTTATTGACAAATGGGTTTTCACGCGCGATAATATTCCTGCAGCCTGGGTGGTGAGAAGCTGGGGGTCAGAATTGGTTCGCCGATAGCCTGAACACCCTTTCGGTTTTTACATAAAAAGTCCTGATTCCTTTCTGCCACTTACCATTTTCTTCAATAATGAATTCGGGTTTCAAGTGAGCCTTTGTTTCAGTAACTCATTTTATTACAAAGAAGGTGGATTTTCTGTTAAAGAATCGAAGTGCAGGTTTCTAAGACTATGTTCCCTCCCGGCATGGTCAGCCCCTCCGAGCACAGTAGGGAGCCTGTTTCCAGAGATGGTTGGTTGTCCTCCTTGCCCTCCCATGCCCACCAGTGACAACACCAAACCTGTCACCTGGGTCCTTTCTGGACTTCAGGAAAGCCGAGCCTCTGAGGGGGGGGTGACCAGCTGCTCTCTGGCTGGGGTGGCAAGGGCTGGTATTTCTTTGGAAGAGTGACGGGTGGCCTGTGGAAAGAGTCACAGTGAGAGTCTGAGAAGGTTGGCTGTGCAGGTGGTTCCTTAGCCATCCCTGCCCTCCGTGTCCCCAGCTTTGGGTGGGAAGTTAGTTTTGGGGTGCTGGCTGCTTTAAAGGGCAATCTGATCATTTTCAGGTAGCTTTGATGATCAGAACACTCTAAAGTCACTCCCAATGAGCCTAAAACTCCCTCCCCACAACATGCTCTTTGGTCTGGTTCTGTTTTCCAAAGGATATGATGTCATCCTCTGCAGGGCATCACAGATTGCTCAACATGCTGCCTGTCTGGGTTTGAGGACGACTGGAAGATGTGAGCTCTTTAAACGCCCCAAAGAAATAGGAAAATGTTTAAAAGTCAATGAGCATCTCACTCACCCATTTATTCTGCTGTTCACTCATTTATAAAGTATATCAGGCACTATTGGTGGAGGCTGGAGATGCAGAGAGCAAAAACAGTTCGTTTTTGCTTCCCTCCAGGGTGTCAGAGAGAAGCCATAAGGTACACTCAGAAGCGAGGGTGGTACACTCTGTGACAGAGGTCCTCTCGGGGCCCAAGTAGGACAGCAGAGTGACTGACTCATCCAGAGCCTGTGAAGTCCAGGCTGTGGCTCTTCCCTTCATGTGTATGCACAATAGAATAATAGTAGTATTTCTATGTATATTATATGGAAAAATACATGTGCATACATAAATGTATACCTATACCTTGTAAGTTCCTTTAAGGCATTTCCTAAATGCTGGTACCATCTGGGGGTTCGTTCTTTCTTTCTTTCTTTTTTTCTTCTTTCTTTCTTTCTTTCTTTCTTTCTTTCTTTCTTTCTTTCTTTCTTTCTTTCTTTCTTTTTCTTTCTTTCTTTCGATTTTATTTATTTATTCATTCATGAGAGGCAGAGACATAGGGATATGGAGAAGCAGGCTCTCTGCGGGGAGCCTGATGTGAGATGCGATCTTAGGACCCTTGGATCACGACCTGAGCCAAAGGCAGATGTTCAACCGCTGAGCCATCAGGTGCCCCATCTGGAGGGTTTCTATACTAAAAGGAGGGAAGCAACAGGAAAGGATAGAGGAGCAGTGCCCACATCACGAACAGATGAGTGAAGGTACAAAGAGTGGCTAGTTGGGTGTGAGTGAGTGGGAATGTCCTTGAGTAAAGGCTTGTCCACTCTTGTTCACTGGCCAGCTCATACTAGTTTTTCCACATCAACTGCTTGTGTTTTTCTTTTTTAAATTCTGGAGCTTTTCAGATTCTGGAACTCATCATTTAAGTGCATAGCAAAATAAAATTTCTATTTTAAGTGTCTTACCGAGGAGGTGGTAGAGGAGTCTGCAAAAGGAAATGAGAATCAGAAATTAAATGTATTGTTCTCTGAGCAGAACTAACAGTTAACAGTTTGGGGGTTTACAAATAGAAATGACAAATGCCAACCAAACTTCTAGGATATATTTCTCAAGTGATATCTAAGCCTTTGCATTGTCCACATTCCCATGCTTCTAAAATAAAGAGTGGGTGGCAAACACATTTTAATGACTTCTCTTACCTTGCTTCCTTTTGTGGGTCTGTCTCCTGAAACATAAGAGGAAAAGCAGTGAGTTTATGGAAAATGTCATCAAACTAGTTTTACATATGTTTGAGTGGAAATTAATCCCCATTTGAATAATCTTGATGATAATGTCAATTAAAGTTTGCTGAGATCTTATTAGGTATCCAGGACCTAATATTACTAGTTCTGGGATCTCATTTAATCCTCACCTTTGTTCTGGAAGTGAAGAGTGAGGCATGGGGAAGTTACCCTCCAGACACCCCGTAAATGGTAGAATGAAGACTTCATTGCATGTGGTAGGACTCCCAAGGTCTGCCTCTTGGCCACTAATTCTTACTTAAAATTAACATTCTTCTATATTTATATAGTTACCTCATTATTTCAGATTCCTGCCAAACACCTTCACTGGACATTTCTGAGCAGAGGAAGGTAGATAGCATCACCAAATTTTCTAGATGGAAGGGTTTTCTAAGACTCCAAAACCCAACTTTTATATTAGACAAAAGTAAGGACAAACTAGGTAGGACAATCGCTCAAGACCACCCAACCCTAGAAGGGTGTGAATGAAGGCCAGGAGGGCTTTTCCTGACATCCAGGTAGTTTTAGTTCCACAATCCAATTCAACTCAAAGGTAATCATTAGGCTGCGACTCTGAGCTAATTAGCACAGAACCAGGCGCTAGGGGACAAAGACAATACTGCCCTTCCCTCAAAGGATTTACACTTGTTGGGTTCACAGGCCAAGGTCTGGGGTCTGGGGACACAATTGTGATGGGGAGACACTGTCCCTGTTGCCACCAGGCTTGTACCTAAGAGCGTAGATGTGCATTGGAAACACTACGAAATCTTTCAGAATTTCAGAGAGAAGGTCATGATATTAAAGGGACACACGAGAGATTTAGGTTAGTGGGGGATGTCAGAAAAAGCCTCCTATGAAAGCAGATGTGCTGTTGTAAATGTTTTATAAAGTTGTGGGAGGAGCCAATGGGAAAACGTGGCCCCTGTTGTGGATGACTTCACCCTCGGCTGATTGCTGGCTTCGCTGAGCTTCATTTCCTGTGTGTGAGGCAGTGAGGCCAAACTGGCTCAGGGGGTGTTAACCATCCTCTGAAGGGCACCCTGGACTCCCCCAGGGCCCCCTGAGGGGCCGAGAGGGCTAGGGGACTGGTTTCTGGCTCATCATCCCATGTCACAGGGGGCTCTACCTCAATCTGCTTCCAGATTTCTTTTGGGGGAAACGTCCAGCTGGCCAGAATAACACAGCACATACTTGTCTGGGTGATTTGGAGGGCTCTTCCAGGTCTGAAGTAATTACTCAATGGAGGAAAATTACCATTCTTCGTATTTTATTTTTGTTTTTGGAAGACACTTTTAAAATAGATAAACTGGATTTCTCTGCATAAATTCAAACATTAATGGCAAACAGGAATTGTAGATGTTCTTGGCATCGTAAAAACAAAATAGGATCTGGGATGGATTTCAACAACGGCAGCAGTCTAGTTAATGTTAGATCTTTGGCTCTTTCAGTGGTATTTCCAAAAAGCTAGACTACATGATACCCTCTTAAGGCAGCAAGTCAAAAGTGTAAGATGCACTTCGTCTCGCTTTGTTTGCATTGGCTTCACCCTCAGAGCTCCCCAGTGGACTGCCTCGCTGCTCATATTGATGCCTTTCCCTGCAAAGCTATAGATGTCAGCTTTTGGAGAGGCCTTTCTTCATAGCTACCACTATATCTATGGGGGATCAATTCAATTACTGGAAAAAAATTCAATAAAAAGTCTGAGTATCTCGGACTCAGTAGGAACATTCCATTTATCGTTTCAGAGATCTCTATCCTGTTTGCTTCAGTGACTGAGCTCAGGAAAGGATATCTATCTTCCTTTAATTCATTGACTTATTATTGAGCACATAGTATATGTCAGGCATGGATTCATTTTTAATATATTTATTAATGCAGGTGGTGGAGAATATAACACCTAAACAGAAGTTGTTATTCCCATGTAACTTACATTTCAGTGACAGGAGATAGAAAACAAATACAAGTATACAATGACAATGACAGGTGATGACAAGTGCTCCAAAGAAAAATGCTACAGAATGAGGGAGAAAGTAGGAGCATGAAGACTTCCCCATCTGTCATGCAAGAGAAAAGGGGGAGCGGGTTGGCTGTTTTATAGGCAGATCCCAGAAAGTCTATCTGGTTAAGTGATGAAAACAGAGGCCCAAGAAAAGTAAGGGAGCCCATCAGGTGATTGTGTGGGCAGGCGTTTCCCGACAGAGGGAACAGCAAGTGCAAAGGCCCTGAGGTGAGATGAACAAGAAGGAGGTGTGGCTTGAGTGGTTGTGGAGGTAGGAGAGTGCCTAGATCACCTGCCATCTTATAGGCTATGGTAGGAGCTTTGTTTTTGGGTACAGTGTTCATGTGTCCTGTGTCTTCATTATAATATCACATTTTCTGTGGCATCACTTAGTTTTACCCCCTCACTTAAAAAAATCTTGTATATGATATCAGCGACAGCAGCAGAGATTTTGGTTCTATCAGATATGTGTATTAGTAATCATTTGTGCTGTCCAGCTTCACTTGTGCGTTGCTTAGATAACTGAAATCCTACAGATTAGCAGGTAAGCGTGAATTTCAGGAATTCTACAAGTGAGAAAACTGGATCAAATAGGCAACGTACCATGTCATCATCAATTCATAAAATCCAGCCAGCTTGGTTTGGGGAGGGGGTTGCTTAATAAAGTCATAACAGCTCAGGTATTCAGAAATATCAGAAAGGGAGAGAGAACATAAAGACTCCTAACTCTGGGAAACGAACTAGGGGTGGTGGAAGGGGAGGAGGGCAGGGGGTGGGGGTGAATGGGTGACGGGCACTGGGGGGGGGCACTTGACGGGATGAGCACTGGGTGTTATTCTGTATGTTGGCAAATTGAACACCAATAAAAAATAAATTTATTAAAAAAAAACAGCTCAGGTATCTGGGATAATAGAAGAAGATGAGATATATGGAGCGGAGTTTTTGGAATTTGAATCTTGATTCTGTACCTACCACGGGCAAGAGCACAGCAAGTTCTCAATAAATATTTGTGAAATAAGCAAAAGGATTGAGGGATGGCTGAGTTTTCTCATCTGGAAAAGTGAGAAATAGATACTCACACTTCACTGGAATCTGTGTGTGGGATACATGGGTTAGTGCTTCAGGTATGTGGCCTGTGACGCACACCCAGTTACCAGCATTATTGTGCCATGGAAAATTAGAGGGGGAACTGCAATCTACTCTCCTTGTGAAGCACACAGATAATCTCAAATGCTAGGAAGACTCCCCATCTGTGACATAAGAAGACACACACACGATTTTTGTGTGTGGTCCTTTCTTCTTGAAATTCAATCAAGTGGGTTTCAGGAGGAGGCGGAGGCTGGCGTGCTCGCCATCTGGTGGCCATCTGTGTAATTAGCACCATCTGCCCACAGAGTGTCCTCATTTGCTCTTGGTGCTGCCACGAGATCGATTCCACTTCCGCCGCAAAATTTATTGCTGCTTCGGAGGTAACGTGGTGAGGTGAGCACAGCGTGGCTGTAGCACCGATGCACTGGGTTTGACTGTTACCTCTGTAGCTTCTTAGGGAGAAATCATGAAGAAATTGTCCACCTTGCAGGGTTCTGCGAAGTTAAAGCAAAGCATCCTGGAGAAGAAAGGATCACAAGGCCTATTTGTGGTCGTTTTGTTTTGTTTTGTTTGCAATGCAGTTGTGAAACACAGCCATTACTGAAAAATAAATGATTTCACGTACACGTTCAGTTCTATCAGAGACCCCCCCCCCCGAACTGTCTTCCAAGTGGCTGTGCTCTTTTGCATTCCCACCGGCAATGTGTGAGCGCTCCTGTCCATCCGCATCTTCACCAGCATTTGGGGTTGTGGATTTTGTGGGTTTTGGCCATTCTTATAGGTGTGTGGTACTATCTCATGATTGTTTGAATTCATCTCCCCCTGGTGATGTATGATGTGGAGTATCTTTCCATAGGCTTATTTGCTATCTGTGTATCTTCTTTGGTGATGTGTCTGTTGAGGTCTTTGGCCCATTTTTTAATTGGACTGTTTTTTTTTTTTTAATTGTTGAGCTTTATGAGCTCTTTGTATACCTTGGACAACAGTCCTTTATCAGACGTGTCTTTTGCAGATATTCTCCACAGGGCTGTGATTTGTCTTCTTCTCTTGACATTGTCTTTCCCAGAGCAGAAGTTTGTAATTTTCAGGAAGTCCAGCTCATCGATGATTTGTCTCATGGGTCGTGCCTTTGGTGTTGTTGGCTAGAAAGGTATCACCATGCTCAAGGTCATCGAGGTTTTCTCCTGTGTTATCTTCTAGTTTTATAGTTTCAATTTTTAATTTAGGTCTCCGATCCATTTTGAGTTAATCTTTGTAAAGGAGTAAGGCCTGTGTTTAGATTAATTCCTTTTTCTTTCTTTCTTTCTTTCTTTCTTTCTTTCTTTCTTTCTTTCTTTCTTTCTCTCTCTCTCTCTCTCTCTCTCTCCTCTCTCTCTTTCTTTCCTTTCTTTCCTTTTTCTTTCTCTCTCTCCTCTCTCTCTTCCTTTTCTTTTCTTTTCTTTTCTTTTTTCTTTTCTTTTCCCTTCCTTCCTTCCTTCCTTCCTTCCTTCCTTCCTTCCTTCCTTTCTCTTTCTTCTTTCTTTCCTTCTTCTCCTTCCTTTTTTTTTTTTTTTTTGCAAGAGGATGTCCAGTTGTTCCAGCACTGTTTGCTGGAAGGACAATCTTTGCTCCATCGGATGACCTCCACTGCTTTGTCAGAGATCAGCTGACTAAATGTGGGTCTATTTCTGGGCTCTCCATTCTGTTCCATTGCTGCGTTTGTTCTTTCACCAATACTGCACTGCCCTGGTTACCGGAGCTTTATAGTATATATCTGGAAGTAGGATAGCATCAGCCCTTCAAATTTGTATTCATACTTTTTCCCCTTCAGAGATCTGTTTTTAGATTTACTACCACTTGTGATTTGGTGTTGACACT